AAGTTGAGGAATGTATTGCTTTTCAATATCCATTGGAGATGAAAGCAAAAGCCTTTGAGGTGTTGGAGTGTGTTATTGACAGTGTCGTAGGAAAAATTAAGGTGGCAAAAATGCAGGAGTCTTTTAACTACTGATTCCCCTGCTTTTATGATTTTGGGTGGATGCCTGTGTGTCCTGATGCAATCTTAATGATCACTAAATATAGTTTATATTTGTTAATATATCACTAGATAGGCAAACCTCATACTCTCTCTCTCTCTCTCTCTCTCCTTGGATGTGTCTTTTCAGTTGTGAATTATTTTCTCATCTCCAGTGGCCTCAATTCTCCTACTGTTTTTGGCCAGCCTGAGATTTTATATCCAGGCAATTTAAGAAATAGAACTGAAAATTGGATGGAAACTCAGACTGTCACAATCACTTTACACACCCTTACAAATTACAAGCTTTTTTACCATCACACTGATATTGTTAAAAGAAAACATCCACAAAGGAATTTCGCTTGCTTTTCTGTAGTGAAATATTGTCAAAAGTACTCAATCTTAGAGCAGGCCATTAGTTCTTTTCAGCCTGAAGGTCGCCACATATGTGCAGGGGGAAGGATTTATAGATTGTGGTCAACTGGAATGAAGGAGCTGCTGTGGAAGGATAAATTCAGTGAAGCATGAAATACGTTGTGTTCGGTGCAGTGCACAAGATATTAACTACAGCCTAGGAAGACTTCATCATGATGATTTGTTGCAATGAGAACTCTGCTGTACCCTCATCCACCCTTACAGTGGCTCACTTTAGGAGCAGAATTAAACACTTGGTCATGTGAGAAACTTTTTCAAACAGAAGGAGCTTCTGCATATTTTTATTAACAGGGTTGGAGCAAACAGGATCAGAATAGAAGCTAAGAAACTGATCTTGCATGGAACAGAGCAGTATGGAGCCCATTTCCTCTAAACTGGAGCACACATTCTTCTCATTGTGCCTTCCTGCACATCTGTCATAAGCCAGAGGGGTTGCTGCATCCCTTAAGCCAGTGGTTTTCAAACTGCGGGTTGCGACCCAGTACTGGGTCGCGGAATGTAAGGCACTGGGTCCCAGCGGCTCCGGTCAGCACCGCCAACCAGGCCATTAAAAGTCCTGTCAGCGGTGCTGCCCAGCAAACGCAGGCTACTTCCTACCTGTTCTGACAGCGCGCTGTGCCCCGGAAGTGGCCAGCAGCAGGTCCAGCTCCTAGGCAGGGGGCCCATGAGGCTTTGCGTGCTGCCCCGGCCCTGAGCCCTCCCTCCCTCCCCGAACCCGGAGCCCCTCCTGAACGCCAAACCCCTCATCCCCAGCCCCACCCAAGAGCCTGCACCCCCAGCCCAGAGCCTTGACTCCCTACCACACCCCAGCCCTGAGCCCCCCAAACCCAGAGCCCCCTCCTACACCCCAAACCCCTCATCTCCGGCCCCACCCCAGAGCCCACACCCCCAACCCAGAGCCCTGACCCCCTCCTGGACCCCAAACCCCTGCCCCAGCCCAGAGCCCCCTCCCACACCCTGAACCCCTCATTCCTGGCTCCACCCTGCAGCCCTCACCCCCACACCCTAACCCTCTGCCTGAGCCCCTCCCACACCCCAAACCCCTCATCTCCAGCTCCATTGGGTTACAGGCATCAATAATTTTCTTCAACTGGGTTGCCAGAAAAAAAGTTTGAAAACCACTACCTTAAACTGTACTTTGAATCAATTGCACAATAAGATGCTTTATAAATTAGCTGTAAAGATGAGGCTTGTCCGATTATATAGCTTCATAATTATGGTAATTTATATCCAAATATACATATTGACACTTATTTCATGCTTAAGAGAATAATTAGCATTTCCATGATATCATATATTGTTTACCCTAATCTTACTCCAAACTGAACACTCAAGGAGTGTTCCTTTCTTAAAACTCATATAGTTTAACTATCTCTTGATAAAGGGAAAAAAAGGCAGAGTAGTTTTGAGAACAATTGATTTTCTGAAGACTTTTATTTTTTTCCTGCAATAATGGGAATATTCTGTGTCTCAACTGATTTGATTTCATAAATTGCACCTTCTTAAGATGTTCTAGAGTCTAGACAATGGTTTAATTCCTGCTCCCTGTAAAGCATATTTGCCTTGGATAAGTGTAAACTTAGTGTTCAAGTTAAACAACCATTTTATTGTTCGTAATATGGACAGACCAGTTTAGGAACAGATGGTCACAAATGATGCCCTCTCACCTGAGTCTGTGCTGAGGCTGAGAGCAGCAGAAATAAAATATTGTACAAGTCTCTTTTAAAATAGGGATATGATGGAAGGGCTGAATGTAGTTGGAGCTTTGTGGCTGGGAGATGGGAAATGGAGGAAACTGATTGCTTCCCCTCCCTCCCACCCTTCTCATTACTCCTTCCCCAACAAAAACCAAACAAATAACCCAAACTGTTTGAGCACTTCCCTAAAAATGTTGAGCCAGTAATGAACATAGGATTTTTAAACATGGCCAAGCAAATTGCACAAGAAAAAAGGAAGCCAACTCTATATTCTGTATTAATCACGTAGTTCAGCCCTTCCATAGCTGTTTTCTATTTTTAGAAACATTGTCCTATCATTTTTATCTTTAAACAAAGACCATTCATCCTGCAAAGAAGAGCTCGGGTGGGACAGGGATTAAATAGCATATTGTCACTCTAAGGAATATCTTTCTGAGACTGGAGATGGGCTTCCTGTCCTTACCAGACACTCCAGTAAGACAATCAGTATCTAAAGAGTTACCTAGGAAACTTAACCAGGAGATAGTTGCTTGTTATGGCCATTCTATAGGGAGAAGGCTCTTATTCTCTGAAATAGTAGAACATTGAGTGTAAATCCACTCAAACTGCAGCTATCCAGGGTCAGAGTGGTGAGGTGTGTATTTTGGTGCTAGTACAAAATATTGTTTGGGAAGATTTGCTCCCATACCATTTTTTCTTCCTAAAAGAAAGGAGAGAGTAAACCAAGCAGACTTGGTCTGCAAGATTTCTATTTTATTTGTTGGGGTTAGAGAAATACTACACAGATTCTTACTATACCATTTGATTATGTGGTAATGTGGGGCATGTGCATTTTTTTTAGGGACAGGACAACTACGGAAATGAGCAATTCATCTGTTTGTTCTAGAATGAACATCTGCTCCTGCTTTCTGTCTCTTTCAATAACATGCTGAGAGAGATTGCTTATCTCCCATTGGGCCAACTGTGTGAATTAATATATCTTCAAAACAAATAAAAACATCCCCTTGAAATAGATATGCAAGCTAAAAAGGAAGCATGTGGTCTGAACAATGGAAAGGTTGGAAGGTCACACAAGTGTATGCTGGAAAGAAGCGAGTCATAAGAACAAAAATTTTTCGAAAGCAAATGTTTCACTGGTATTTCTCACAAACTTAGTTTTGATATCATGTGGTTCTATATTTAGCAAATTTGCTTAGAGCCTCGTGTCCAAGTTAATTTTTCTGGAGCAAGTTTCTATCCTGGAAACGACAATTCATGATATCAGTGACATCTCTGGGTTATGAAATTTTTCCATCCTTTCTCCCTGAGTATCCGCTCTTCTCCTTCTCTAGGAATCAATAGACCTGGTTTCGGATTCTCACTCTGCTGTTGATTGTCTTTCTGGCCTAGCATAAGTCACTACGGCTCAGGTTTTTAAAGATATTTAGGAATTGCTGTGCACAGCATTGCAATGCCTAACTGATTTAGAAGCCTAAATATCATTTTCAGAAGGGATTTAGGCACTTAGAAGCCTCAGTTTCCTCATCTATAAAATCGAGACGTGTATAGCACCAATTTTGAAAAGTGCTTTGAGGTCCTTGGATAATTGACTTCAGTGGGACTTAAACATGGGAGCTTAACTACTTTGGGGCCAAAAAGATGGTGTGAGGTCATTACTGCTTGGTAGAACACCCCAGCAAACACTGTTACAAAAGAACTTCAGGGTGGAAGTTAGGAATACTGTCTTGTCAGTACTTTTTAGAAACGTAATTGAAGAGTAGAAATTCTAGTTGATTTTGTTTGGGGTTACAGTGCAATTTATTCCTAGCTGTGCTTTACTATACCATTAATGGGTCCATCTTCAAACTTGTGGAAACAGAAGAAAATCTAAAGCGTTCCTGTAGTATGATTGTTCAGAGGAGTCCTCAGATCTTGGTAGCTGGTCTACTTTTCCTTTCATAATCCTGTTTTAATTAAAGAATGTAAACATTTAAGCATATAACAACTGCATTTACCACCTCTGATTTTCATTGGCCTCTATAAATCACAGAAGCTAGAGATAGAAAGAACTTCTTATTAGATCATTCATTCCACTTATCTCCAGGCTAAAACAGCATTGAATATAAAGGAAGGCTGAAAATATTTATAAATTATGTACTGTATTATGGCTGGATTTGAACTGGAGAGTCTATCCTTTTTAATCCGGTACTCTGCTAGTTTAAGTAAAGTGGAAACTAAGGATAACATTTAAAAGCCTCTTAGGCTCTTTTGGAAAATCACTTGGGTGTTTTTGAAAATTTTACTTAAGAACAACTGAGACATTTAATTATATATAGTGTTATTGTAGCCATGTTGGTCCCAGGGTATTAGAGAGACAAGGTGAGTGAAGTAATATCTTTTATTGGACCAGCTTCTGTTTGTGAGAGAGAGAGAGAAGCTTTCGAGCTACACAGAGCTCTTCCTCAGGACTGGGAAAGGTATCCAGAGGAAGAGGCCCTCAGGAAGAGCTCTGTGTAGCTCGAAAGCTTGTCTGTCTCCCCAGTAGAAGGATTTTACTTCACTCCCCTTGTGACATTTAATTATAACAAACAATTATAATTGTTTTTGTAGTTTTTGTGGATACAGACTAACACGGCTACCCCTCTGATACTTAATTATAACAGATACTCTAAACAGTCTTTAGATCACAGGCATGTTTGTAAATTCAACTGCTATGGTGATATTGTAACTATTTTAATGTTGTTTTTTGTAGCTGATGCTTTTTTCAAAGCTGCAGTGAGCCTTGTTCCTGAAGTGCCAAAGATGATCAATATAGATGGGAAGATGCGGCCCTCTGAACCATTCCTCCTGGAATTCTTCTGTAATTTCTTTTCCACTTTATTAATTGTGCCTGTAAGTAACTTTAGCGTGAATTGAAGTTTGGAGCATTTAATCCCTAACGCTCAAGGTGGCTATTGATATTTTAGCTTGTCTGCTTATAGACCAGACCTTGTTTTAAATTGAGTATTTCTTACATGTTTTATTATAAACACTGTGTCCATTATTTATTTTTAAATTAAGATAAAAAATACTTCTGTTTTTATATATCAAAGCACATGAACGGTAGTTGAAACACAGTGTCCAAAGTTACTTGAGCACAGTCAGCGTAAAACCCTAATCCTGTAGTTTCATCGTAACGCACCCCATTCTTCAAAAGGCAAAAACCTGTGAACAGACTCTGACTCAATCAGATTGACAGTGGAAGTGAATTTGAGTCGGAGACTAATGAAACTGTCCTGCCAGAAACTCCCAGACATTCAGATCTGGGGACAGCTAGCTTGAATGCCCAGCTGATCTTAACTGAGAGAGGAGAGGTTTTTCAGATAGTTAGGATCCAGAGTGTGTAAGTGTGTGCAGATCACTATCACCCCCTTGAATTGTATCTGGAATTGAACAATGAGCCACTGGAGTCTTTGGTGCACTGGTAAAATATGCTCTCTGCTGATAAAGGTGCTAAGCAGATGCACTGCTGCGTTCTGTGCCTGTCGTTTGAGTGGACTTCAAAGGTGGGTGGTGTGACGGGTTGAATCACAGAAACCCTCTTGGGGTTGCCGACTGATGTGCCAGGACTACTACTGCCCCTGCTTTCCTGCCCTGCCAGTCTGGGACTTCAGTGCCCTGTCTGGTTTGAGCCAGACTCACTAGCCTGCTGCAAACCCAGACCCAGGGTCTGAACCACGTCACCTAACAGCTGTAGGCTTACCTGAAAGCAGCTTACAGAAGTGTTTTTGTTTCTAACACTTAGATGCCCAACTTCCAATGGGGTCTAAAACCCAAATACATTCGTTTTACCCTGTATAAAGCTTATACAGGGTAAACTCATAAATTGTTTGCCCTCTATAACACTGATAGAGAGAGATGCACAGCTGTTTGCCCCCCCTCCCCCAGTATTAATACATACTCTGGGTTAATTAATAAGTAAAAAGTGATTTTATTAAATACAGAAAGTAGGATTTAAGTGGTTTCAAGTAGTAACAGACAGAACAAAGTGAATTACCAAGTAAAATAAAATAAAACACACAAGTCTATGTTTAATCAAACTGACTACAGATAGAATCCTCACCAGTTCCAGAATGCTTCCTTTTACAGACTAGTTTTTTTTTTAGTCTGGGTTCAGCAATCACTTACACCCCTTGCAGTTACTGTTCTTTGTTTCCGTTTTTTTTCAGGTATCTTTGGGGGTGGAGAGGCTGTTTTTTTTTTTTAGCCAGCTGAAGACCAAATGGAGGGGTCTCCCAGGGGTTTAAATAGACTTTCTCTTGTGGGTGGAGACCCCCTTCTCTCCCCTTTGCAAAGTCCAGCTACAAAATGGAGTTCTGGAGTTACCTGGGCAAGTCACATGTCCATGCATGACTCATAGTTTTTACAGGCAGAAGCCATTGCCCACATGGTATGTTGAATGTTTTCATAGTTCTAGATACAAGAGCGATACATTTCTAGAAATAGGATGAACACACTCAGTAGATTATAAGCTTTGTAATGATACCTTACAAGAGACCTTTTGCATGAAGCATATTCCAGTTATGTTATATATATTCATAAGCATCTTTTCATAAAGCCTTATGGGGGGCACCGACCATCACAGGTGGGTACAGTGATCTAATCGGGAAGTGACACAGCCATGGATAATGGAGTCATGGCCCACGTCTGAATCAGTATAATCAGAGAAAAATAGCTGTGTACCTCCTACCTAGAGCAAGTAGATAAGGAGGGGGCGGCAGTAGGTACTTCATGCCGCATGAGCCACTTGAAACTCTAGAAACAAGGAAGGATCCAGAAGTACCCCTAGATGGTGAACCTCTTTGGGACAGGTATGTGCACTTCATCAATACGAGGGAGGGGTCAGATACTAACCTTGCCATGTTCTCTGGTTGTTTCTCCCAGCCGGCTGAAACAATCTTTATCTGGACTGAGTCTCAACCTACTCAGCATCATCCAGCCAGGAACTTGGGAAAATATGGACAGTATACTCTCTCTTGATTCAGTGTCAAGGATGCATTAAGCTGAGTGTCATCTGCATATAGATGGTACTGCCTCCCAAACTACATTTCTCTCACCCCCCGATGGTGTCACATCTGATGGTGTACTGAGCAGGAGGAATGAGAATAGAGCACTACTGCATCCTGCATTAAAAGAGCCCATTGTGTGGATAAGCAATTGCCCAATACCACTCTCTTCAATCTCTCTAAAAGGAAGGCTTGGGGCCACTTTAACCCTTAAAGATCTTCATTACTCATGGATACAGTACCCATGTGCTTGATTTATGCCAGCTATGAAGAATGAGGAACCAGGACCTCCGTGAGTGAAACTGATCCTGAACTGATAGGGTGTCAATCCAGTCTGAATTTCCACCATCTGTTACCTTTGTTAGACGGTCCTGGCTTTACTCATGAAGCTGGAGTGGGGGAAGATGGACATGAAAGGTTTTGCCTGTAGAAAGGCTGTTACAGTTATTGGTGGTGCTACAGAGAAGTATATTGACTCTTTGAGTTTAGATGTCCTTCATGGGTTCAAAACAGAATATCTATCACATTTGAAAGGTCTCTGAAGAGAATCTTCAGTGCTCTCCTAGTGCATGTTTCCACACAGTACTGGCATGGCACTTTTTCTCAGCCTAAGGGATTTACAGAACATTCCTTATTAAGCAATAAAAGGACTTGAGGTATTGCGAACATCAGTGAGTATAAATAAATAAGTAAAAAGGGACCTTCTATAGCACTGTTAGAAATATGAGCAGAAAATAAAATGAGATTCAATTTGGGGAAACTGCAAACTAATACGGTATATATGCTTATTAGATTTTTTCCCCAGTGCACAGTAGAAAGGGGAAACTTGGAAAGCAGTAATAATACCTAATTTTGTCCATCCTGTTGGTTAAACATCTGTATTACAGAACCCTCACACTTAATTTAACAGACAGTGGGTAGGATTTATGTAGATGACTGTCTCCAGATTAATTTCATTCTGTTTTACATCCACCATTTTAAAGGCTAGTCAGCTGCTTAATAGTTGGCATTATGGGTGAATCATTGAGTCTGTGCCATTAATTCCTTGGCACTGATAGTTCAGTGGTCCTGATGCTAAAAGCTGATGAATTTTGCCTCAAAAACTCTTGCCTCCTGGTGCCAAGAGGTTAGTGAAAAATAAGTGTGTATATATTAAGTCATTCATGATTCAGGAATTAAGCAAATTTTTAACATACATGAGTTTGTAAACTCATGAAGGTGTCATATTTACCATGTGGCTTCAGCTATTCAGGATTATGTGATGAAAACAGGATTCACTTTTTAACTTTAAATCTGTTGATGTGTGGATTGCAAAGGAAGGCTTTCATACTATAGCAGGCTGGAAATTGTCTACATGTGCTTGGCGCGGCAGCTTGTAGGAGGCGGCATTCTGCCCAATCCTAGGGCGGCACGGCTGCTTGCTTTTTTTCGTTTGGGTTTTTTTGTGGTGTTTCGCTCCGGCCGCCCCATAGGGGGCAGCGGCGCAGAGGACGGGAGCGCCCTGCAGCAAGCCCGGCAGGGCAGTCCGCGTCCTTCCCTCCCAGCCGACCGGAGCAGTGCAGAGCCCTCCCGGCAGGCGGCGGGGCCGCGTGGCAGCTCCCCGCTGAAGCTTGGGGCAGCCAAAAAGCCAGAGGCGGCCCTGGGTGCAAAGGTTAGTAGGTTGCCAGAAAAGATTGTTTTGCTACTAAACATAATGTAGATTTGAAGAAGAGCTCTGTGTAAGCTCCAAAGCTTGTCTCTTTCACCAACAGAAGTTCGTCCAATGAAACCTATTACCTCACCCATGTTGTCTCTGTAATGTAGATCAACATTTTTGTAAGATCCGGATGTACACCAACAACAGAAAAACAATGCAGAGCTTTGACTATTATTTACTACTGTCCATTGTTATGAATGAGTTTAACCTTAGAGGTAGTATCATTTTTAACTGGTGGTGTTTTCAAGTTGGGGATAATAATTAGGAACTGCCCGTGGTCATAATTTTCCTTTTTGAAGAAGTAGACAGATTTTTACAAAACATTACAATTGCATTCCTTTCCAAGTTTTAACCCAGAGGCGTATTTTACATGCAGATATAAGATAGTTCCTTCTGAACATTAGCAATTATTACTGAAAGATAAGAAACAATCTTAAATTAATGATAAAGATCTAACGATGAAACCTAAGTGAAGAAATTCAGAAGTTCCATTTTTACTATGAAAATGATAGCACTTTAAACACTGATAGAAACCACCCATGTTATAACCAGGATAAAAAACCCATTTACTAAGCAAGTCTCCCTTGGGGCCCATACCTAACGTACCACTTCTGAGGCTGACATTCCTTCGTTTGGGTTAAAATTGGGCTCCGAGTGGAAACTCAGTTGCAACCTTAAATGTGGGCCACCTAGTATCATGTCATGACTTTTGTCTTACTGTTTTTTTGGCCCTTTTCTCCCTTTATTGTCTTAAAAAAAATGTCTTTCCCTCCACAATGGAACAGGTTTTTTTCTCCCACTTTTTCCGCTGCCCTCATTCCCCCTTCCCACTCTACCCACATGTGCAGGAATATCACACAGTGTTGTTGGCCAAGATGCTTTCTTTGTTTGCTCCTTGTGCTCTGCCAGAAGCCATGGTGTCTCCCTGCTCGAGCCATGCATTTGAGGGAGTGCATTGTATTGAATATGGAATGAGAGAGAGAAGTGGCTAGCCAGTAGTTTGTTGTGCCTCCGTTGTGCAGATGCGGCACTGAAGAGAGGTAACTTCAGAATTAAATTCTCACTTGGGAAAATGGTCAGGAAGGAGCATGAAGTGTCCTGGCCTATGGCAGTAATTGGCAATGAAGGGAGGGCAGGTCCCGCCTTTAGATCTGCCTGTGCTGAAAGGTTTCTCCAGTGAGAGGCAGGGATTCCAGGGACTATCATTTTCCCTGTTTCCATCCCCCAATGCCTCTATCCTGTCCCTGCTGTCCTCTCCTCTCCACTCACTCCATGGAGGAACTCTCCTATTACCATGTGGCTGTCCTAGAGGTGCTGATTGTTGTTAGTAGCTACCGGTGTGGTGCTCTGCTCTTGTTCGATGATGATGATGATGATGATAACAGTCGGCTGCGTGCGTGTTCCCTCTGTGTGCTGCCCCGGCTCTGCGCAGATAGCTGACATAGCAAACCCCGAGAGAACCCCCAAAGACCACAGACTCTAGTAAGGTACGAAGGAACCCGAGCGAGGTTTATTGTCAAACGAAGCACAGTAATAGTTTCCTATAGACTCTACAGGACATACTACAAATTTGTGCCCCCTGGCAATGGACACAGCTCAGTCAGTGGCGGGACACTCCACTGCCCACTAGGCTGGACAAAGATGCGCACTCCGGGACCTACTTTTATACAGTTAAAGGACAGAATACTCATCCCTACTGACGTATTGAAGTACAGCCCCTTGGCTCATTAGGGTGCTGTCTCCCCTTTGATCATGTTGGTTCAAACAAACAGATCTATCCATCATGCTGTCCTTTTGACCCTGTCTTTAAGATGCACCTGCCTGTTCCTTGTTATGTCTGTGGAGTGTTCTGATGTCATCTTGGCACAAGTTCCTCTTATTAGCACTTATATGTGAATGCACCTGCTTCTAACAACCCTCTTCTTGCCAACTTCTGTGAGTGAGGCCTGCCTCTGGCTCACAGCCCAGCTTTTGCTTAACAATGCCTGGAAGTACTTTGGTTCAAGCTTCAGGCCTCAGACAGGGTCTCTGACACAAGAGTTTGTTTCAGGGCCTCATCTTACTACACTGATATGTAACACCACCACATCCCAGCTCATTTTGAAGTTGGTGCAGTGTTGAAACTACTCTTAAGAAGAATGAACTGTTTCTAAAAGTTGGTGTGCTTCTAATTATTTCTTTTAATATTAAAAGGCCATTGCCATTCTGTAGCTTTGGTGCCTTCCCAATGTATATTTTCTTCTAAGACGCATAATTACATGAGTAATATACTTGTTTTTGTAGTTTACTGAAATAATAAGAGTTAAAACAAAAATCTAACTAGAGTGTGTAATTTTGGAAGTTCAGCTGTTAAGAAGTTGACAGCTAATTTTGTTTGCCTCCCCCTCAGATTAGAAAGCAAAGGATTTCAAAGCTTGTCTGCTGCGGCTGCCTAGACCAGGTTGATGATTATGGGTCAAAAAGATGTTATAATTTTCTCTTAGAATGTGTTTTAAATGGGTTTGCTAGGAAGCACACTTCAGAGAAGTCATTGACGGCTTTAATTATATTGAATTTTGCTGTCACAGAGATGTTGCTGCACTTTAAAAACCAAAAACTCAAACCTCTCGCTGATTATTAGTCTGTCTCTTGTTGGTTCTTTAGGACCATCCAGAACAGGGAGTGTTGTTTCTGGTGCGAGGACTGCTCAATGTGATCCAGGATTATACATGGGAGGATAATAGTGATGACAAAGTTCGGATTTACACCAATGTTTTGCATCTACTCTCTGCAATGACTCAGGAGACCTATATCTACCACATAGACAAAGGTAAACTGTGAGGGTTATTGTGGGTTCTATGCTCTACAGCATTACATCTATACAGTTCCCCTATTGCATTGTATCAGTGACTTGCCAGTGTAAATGCTAGCTGATTAAAATTGAAGCAATAAGCTTATACAATGGATTATTCTCCTGCACATATCTGTGTACTACAGTCTAGTATGACCATAAGAGATCATTTGGGTTGCTAAGCAGGTATCCAGGCCATACTTAAAATAAAACAATATTCCACAAAGAGCATTTATACTTAATCTACTTGTTTCAAGCTTTATTTGTGCAAATCCTGGGACTCCAAACTGGCTTTCTTCAATGGGCCTC